GCTTCGTGGCGTTTGTTGATCCTTTGGAGCATCGTGAGAGTCATCTCGTCAATTTTAGATTGTGGGATTTTCGCCCACTCTTGCTTCAAAACTGGAGTAAATCGCTCTTTGAAGTTGGTTTTTTTGGTTGTTTCTTGACTTGCAAGAATACTTGCAAATACTTGACTTGCAAATACACACACAGCATGGTCACAAGTAAATAGACACCACCTTTTTAGAAAAAATGAAATTTTTCAGTCATATTCACATGAATTGATCTATTTATAATTTAATTAAATTTAATTGAATTGGTTTTTTTGGTTGTTTCTTGACTTGCCGGTCGAGTATGGCCCAGAGGTTTTCGATGGGGTTCATGTCAGGAGATTGGCTCGGCCAGGGCAACTTCTGGATACCATTTTCTTCCTGCCACCTTTGGGTGTTTCTAGCCGTGTGACACAGTGCTCCATCTTCCTGGAACAACATTGTGTTCTTGTCCACGAAACCCGAGGAATAAAGTGCCAAGAGTCCTTCCTCCAATATTTTGATGTATTTCGCAAAATTTATGTTGCCAACGCACTCCACTTAGCTTGATTTCCCACCAACCCAAACAGCTCCCCAAACCATCACGCTGAAACCACCATGCTTCACAATTGGCTGCAATCTGTTGAGCCAAAACTCTTGGTGAGGCATTCTCCAGACCCATATCCTTCCACTGTCCGAAAATTGAGCGAATCTTGATTTGTCTGAGAACAATACGGTCTTGCAAAAGTCCAGAGGCTTGTTCATCATATCACTTGCCCACTTCTTTCGTCTGACTATGTTGGCAGGTCTTAATAAGGGCTTCCGTCTAGCTGCTCTGCAACGATTACCCAATCTGTGGAGAATCCGTTGAACAGATTTCGGGTTCATCCCACCAACTTTGGCCACTTCTGCAGTCGTTAATCTGCGATCCATTTCGATGCTCCTCTTGACAGCCCTTTTTGTCCTTTCCGATGGACCAGGACGACCTTGACGCTTCTCAGTTGATTCCTTGCCGTGTTTCATGAACTGCACGATGATTCTGTTGACTGTCGAAAGCGGGATTCCCATATTCTGCGAAATTTGCCTCTGACTTATTCCACCATCTGCTTGACCAACTATCCTTCCTCTAACAAAATCTGACAATTCGAGAGAACTTTGAGTTCTAAGCATGTTGTAGCACAAGATAATTAGTGTGTGGACCATTTTCATTTATATAGTGCTCTGTGAACACAAATTAGTTAGCATAAATCAGTTAAATGACGAAAAATTTAGGTGTCTATTTACTTGACCACTCAGAGTACATTAGGATTAAAATTTCAGAAAATCTTATGAAAATCTGTTGGTTCTTTAACTTTTACTGTGTAAAGTCCAAATAATACTGTGAAAGATTATGTATACCAGTTTATACATATATGTATCTACACACACACACAATACGCACACAGATATATATAAATACTGAATATTAAAGAAGTCCAGTGGTAGAGTTTATTGAAATTTTGTTTCAGTGTATATAAATTCATATGGTAATATTTCAAGCCATTATTTTGCCATTTTCCAGAAATCAAAAAACAAGAAAAAAGCTCCAAATTTTAACTTTTCAGCTATTCATCTGATTCATGACCCACAAGGTGAGCTACAACTTTCACACATATATATATGGTTATGTTTTTTTTATGTTTTCTGAATAGATGGCCGAGTGTGTAATGTGCAGATCTGTTGTTCATGTCCTGTTATAAGGGTGATGGTCAAATACCATTATTCAGTCAGACTAGAGTAACACAAGAGTTGTGATGAACGTTTTTACCTTCCTTCTAGTATATCAGCTCAAAATTAAGAATAGCTAATGCAGACAACCCTTGAGTATCTTTGCATGAATATATGATAACAAACAAATAAATTGTTGAATAAAAGTAAGGAGTTCAGAAATTAAGAAGAGAAAATGAATTACAATAACATCTTTTGTTTTACATGGATCTCTTACTTAGCATGAAATTCAGATAGTCTGTAACACCTTGTTCATTCTGTTTGTTTGTTAATCATTCAACATGAATTCTTAATAGTAAGTAAACATTTGCTAAATACTTACAATAACATTAACCTAATTAATAGTTTTTTTAGGTATTTTTAAGTTTACTTACTTCAACACGAGGAAAACGTTTTGTATGGCATATTTCTATATTACTAATACATATCAACAATGTGTAGTAAACAGAGGAATGGAAGCTAAGAAAGTGTATACACACTCTTAATAAAACTACTCTCAGAATTGATAAACATTATTATTCAAGAAATCAAAATACATTAAGAAAACTGATATTTAATTTCCTTTTTTTAAGCGTGCTGTTGAAGTTTTTCTAACATTCATTTATCCATCAAAATGTCTAAATAGGTACAATGTATAGTTTCTCAGTGTACTGAGCAGTTACTACATAAAACTATTTTGGAAATAAAATAGATGACAAATAGAAGAGGGTATGTAGAAACCATGGCTTAAACAAACTGTAGTTATCTTGATGATATACTTTCCTATCACGAAAGTATTGCAATATTCGAATAGCTTGGCTGCTACAAATGTAAGGCTCTATGAGGTGTTTGAAGATCACATTCAATCATGGGTTTTATTGTATCAAAAAAGTGGCGAGTAAACTGGACATCCATATAAATAATATGCTTGTGTTTGTTTGTCAGGAACTTTTCTTGTAAATTTCTTGATCAACTGTTATGAATCTCATATTGTTTGAGGAGTCCAGATTGCATATTGGCTTTTCAATTTAGAATCAACTTACTTCTGTTTTGCTTAGTCAAACATTTCAGTGCAATGAGTATGATACACAATGGCACAGTGTCGTTGTCATCACATGACGATTGGCTTCAATTTCAACTTTTTAAGTTTTTATTTGAAAAGTATTTCACACACACACAACACTTAATCCTCATGTAATTTCCTAAAAAATTAACATTACAATAAATACAATTTGTATTAATTTATTTTGTTCTAAACTATGCATGTGCTGTTCCTTAAAACCATATGTTTATCACTGTGAACATTTATTCAAATGTTTCTGCACATTCAGCTAAGATTGCCTTCGTTACAACATTACATTTACTTTGCAATAATTTAGCTTTGGTTTGTTTCATAGATTGCTATAAACACCTTTTAGCTACTTTTTACTGTTTCAACTCATAAAACTGTGTCATTCACTGAATGCTCGTAACTATTTCATACTCTGTGCACTATTATAAATACCATTACTTTCCTTTATTGTTTATTTAAGGTATAGTTTTATTAAATAAAGTTATGTATGTGTAGTTTTATTAAATAAACTTACGTCTACATGAATTTGTTTGTCTGACTTCATAAAAGTTTTCCAAATAGACCAGGATTTATCGATTTAACACAAAATGCCTGCATGAAAACATTGCTTAAATAGAATAAGAAACATTCAAGCAAAGGGCATGAAACTAATGTAAAGGTTTTGCAGGTTGTAGTTAGTTGTAGAATATTATTTTCAGCATTTAGTATTTTTTTATTATTTTTAAAAATTTCAATAAAACATGTTTGCAGAAGCTTATAATTTTCTTTTCTTTATAGATTAGATCTTGTAATAGTAATAGATATTGTAATTGTAATAGATATTTATTACATACTTTTCCATAAACATGGATAATAATTTAATAAAGCCATATTAAAATAAACATTTTTTTTTGTGTTCAAAATGAAATTTTAACAGGATGCTCTTACTTGCAGTAATATATTTCTTTAACCTGTAGCCCAAATGTCAGAAGTCACCTATTTTGGAAAATGTATCAAATTACATTTATTATATGATGCCTTCCTCAGTAATCAAAGAAATATAAATACTGAACAATGTACTAAACAATTCTTGTTGCAGTTGCATACATACTTGCAGTCAGTAAATCAAAAGATAATTTCTAAATTGAATTATATAAAATTCATGAGATAGTTTTTCTTAATGTGAATCCCGCATCTTGAGATAATAGCAGGAAGCAGTGATAAATACCTTCAATATTCTAAATATGGTGTAACAATATAAGAAAAAAAAACATAATTTTGTAAAGGATCCATAATGAAATTTCTATTATTGTCAAACTGCTGTGAACTAAAACAAATGAAATAATTACATGTGACTGGTAATGAAGTGATGATGAATTGAAGAGGATCAGTTTGATATTTTAATTCTTGAACTTTTGCTTGAAAATATTGGTTGAATAGTATCAATTATTTCATTTCTAAGAATATTTTCAAGAACACAAGAATTAGAGAGCAATGTAACTATACAGTTTTCATGAGTTCACAGATAACTTTGTACTTTTTTAAGTTCTTTACTTATACTATATTTATTTAAGTAATACTACAATAAAACAAAGCATTGAATCTTTTGAAAATCACTTTATTCCACTCACCAGCTGGTGTATAATTTTATACAACTTGGGCTTTGTATATATATATAAGATCTGTTTCATGAGTAGTAAAGTAGGAAATCATGTATTATTGTTTCTGTTTGGGTAATAGACCAAAATGCTGTGTTACCTTACATACACTGTTTGCAATGTATATCTGTATCTTAGAATTACTCATTTTGTTAAGATTGTTTAATGGTATTTAGCTTTGCCATTAACCCTCTTGCTACAGATAGGTCAGAGTGAGCATTTCATAACCTTTTACTGCATTGTATTCAAAATATACTTAAACTACTTTATTATCATTGTATGCAAATAAACATGCATCAGTTTTCAGTTCTTAATTTTATAAGGAATATTTTTAAAAATCCTCAATCTCTCTTAGTATGAGAATTGTAACATTTGTTCTCTAGGTCTTCCCTCTTCTGTAACTATTGTGAAACTGCTGTAAACTAAAACATGAAATAATTACACGTGAAAGGAAATGAAGTGATGATGTATTGAAGAGGACAATTTCCCTAAACTATCACAATTTTTCTGGTTTTCTAACTATGTGACAAGAAAAGTTGCAAAATCATCCAAACTAGTCATTATCTTTCCCATGGGAACAAAGCCTCTACTAAGAGGGAAATTGATAATTCTCTGTTCAGAAAACAATGTTCTGTAATACGTCATTTGATAGATGAAAACCTTGGCTTTCTGTTGTTTACAGATAATATAGTATTAAATGTAAGAGAGAACTATTAATAAATATGGAACGAGGGGATGTGACCAGTATGTGTGGCAAGAGGGGTCTGATTTTCTATTTGATAGTGCTCTATAACCAAAGAAAATTGAAGGCTATAAAAATTATGGTTTGTCTGAGCAAATGAAGATTTGATAGTGAGTAATTTACATTGAATTTTTTACTTATTGGAGGGGTGGTGGATAAAATAGAGAAGAGGAGATGCCTAGAGAAAATGTGTCACGTGTCATGCTAGGGGAAATTCAGGATATTTTTAAATATTGCCTTGTAAAATTAAAAACTTAAAACTGGTATACTATTAAAATATGGATTATAAGCTAAGATTTTATGCAATACTAATTGGTATAACACTAAAAAAAAAAAGTAGATGATTAATATTTTGAATGTAAGTCACTAAAACCTCGTGACATGTGCAGTAAAGGATGCTCATCAGGATAAGGTTAATTTAAATTGTTACTGAAAAAAAAGTTAGATATATGTTTAGAAGGTCCTAGAGATTATTCAAATAAAATTTTACAATTTTCGTATGAAGAAAAGTTTTTCTAATCTTAGCATGAAAAATCACATTGCACTCGGAGCAGTCAACACTTTGACTCCATTTATTCATGTACAAGTCTTTAGTAAAGATATTTAAAAAATCTGATTCTTTGTGTACAAAAGACTTGTAATGTTTACAGAAAGCTTACCAAATTTCCTGAAGATACACAAAACATTAAAAATTATAGAATGGAAACCCTGGTGGTAACTTTAGGGTTACAAATTTGGTTGAATCAATTGAGCCTGTAGCGAGAGGGTTAATACAACATCATTTAACTTAATTTAACATAACACTTGATTTGCTCATTGTTTTTGTATTATAGGTATGGCAGAAAAATTGCTCAAGTCCTTAGAAACAATGAATGAAAGATATGAAGTAAAGCTAATGGTGATGAACCTGGTTTCACGTCTTGTTGGGACTCATGAGGTGAGAACCTTGTAAATGGTTTTGTCTTCTAACATTTGTTGTTTTCATACATGAAAATGGTAATTCTTTCTTGCATAAGTAAAGCCTAAAATAACTGAAGAATAGCTCAACAAGTGAACATGTATAAAACAAACAGCAGCATAAAATGTTATTATAAAATAAATACAAGAACAAAAATGAAAAGAATTAACAAAATAGAAGAAAAAAAATAAACTGTTAAGTTAGCTTTTGATGCAAAATGTATAAAACTAGTATCTGAAAAATGAAGAGCACTTTTGATGATGACGAGAAACCCACTTGAAGTAAAAATGTACAGCAGAGATGGTTGGTATGGGTATTAAAAACTTTAATTAAAATGAAGTACAAGAACCTTCTAGTTTCGACCTTCTTAGGTCATCTTCAGGTTGAAACATTGTTCTTGTACTTTATTTTAATTGAAGAGCACTTATGTCATTTCATAAATTAGCAATTACAATAATAATGTTTTAAACATTTAGGGAATTGTCTTTTCATTTTGTCCCTCTATATTGTGCATTCAGGTTTTCTAGAAACAGTTTGTAGATAATTGTGCTAAAATATTTTTTTTAACAAAAACATCATGGAATTTCAAACCTTCAGATTTTTTGTGCATGTGTGTTTCTTGAGCATATTCTTAGTAATATATTTCAAAGAAAGAGTCCATAACTCTCAAAACATATTTCTTTTTGGGAGTGAAAGATGTTTTTTTTTTTTAGTTTTAGATTCTTTTTTTTTGTAATACTAAACATTGTAATCTTAATCTTAATCATTGTAGTTATGTTGGTATGTTTATGATATGGATTTGTAAATTGTTTTTTGGTATTTTATAAAAGCAAATTATAATGCAAGTATTTAGTGCTACTCTTCTGCTGTACTGAACTGTAGTATATGAAGCATTCTTGTTTATAACTTTTGTTTTTAAGTGTTATTAGCCCTTTTGTACTTTCATTTTCTTTAACATTGACTAATATACTTATTAAAAACTGTTTAATCCTTTCTTTAGCTCATACTCTTGAACTTCTATCCTTTACTACAACGTTTTGTTCAACCACATCAACGAGGTCAGTGTCTTTTATCTATCATTTTTCTATTTGTAATTTTTTATAGTAATTTTTAGTAACTTTATTATGTTTTTTGAGACATGGTGTTTGGCTCATAGTAATAAGTGAATTGTTTTAGTTGTTTTTTCAGAAATCAGTTGATATAATAATATTTTTATGAATCTTATGCATGATAAAATATATGTATTTCTTGATATTTATCTATCATTGTGGTGTGTAGAGGGAGAAATGTTGAACCCATGACTCAAAATTGGCAGTGGCTATCTGACAAAAGACAGTGTGCTTTAGTGATCATCAAGGACAGTGGTTATGCTAGTCTTTAAATTATTATTATTATTATTA